CGGGGTGCAGACGCCCGTGGAAAGCTGAGTCGCTGTCTCTGCTCAGAGCACACAGCGGCCTCGGTGCGCCTCGCCTTCTGGCGCTCCCACTCGGGTCTGGACACTAAGTGTACAACACAGACCTGGTACCCATCAGCACTGCTAACGTGTCAGCGTCGGACATTTGCGTAATGGACATGGGCAGGGAATGGACATGCCCCCTCCTCTGCCTTACCCAGTGTCAATTTGCCCAGCTAAGAAATGGAGCCAGTTGTGCCAGAAGGCTTTGGGCAGGGGTTCTCAGGTTGAGTGGGATAGTGTTTGCGGCTGCTGTTATTAGTTTTGACGTGTATTTTTTATTTTTGACCTTTCCTCCCCTCATACTTGCACAGCTTCCACTCACCCTCCACCACACCACCTGTGCCCATACTGAGTCGGGTGATTCTAAATTTTCTCTTGGTTTGTAATCCAACTGTTTTCTTTGCAGAAAAACTGAAAGACTCATACAGTGAACATTTGTAAACGTTGATTCCTAATTGTTAGCAGTCAACCACATTTATCTTTATACTTATCTATATAAGTTTTACTGACCCATTTTAGAGTCACAGCAGTAGACAACCTTCTTCAGCCCATATCAGCTACCACTCCTACTTAACCACATACCACGATCGCATCTGGGAAAATTAGCACTAAGTCAATATCCAAGACAGGCTGGAGGATGATAGCCTGATCCCTGCCAGTCTGTGGGAGCAAAGAGTGCCTGAGCCAGAGAGGGGGACAGGTGTACCCACTTCATACCCTTGGAGGCTGAGGTGAAGCTGCAGCCTTGCCTGAGTAAAGCTGTGTAAACTGAAACTCCAAAAGTCAAAAGGGACCCTTTTCACAGTGAGGGGATCATACATCTTGCAGCTGTGTCTGAGATAGAAATTTCCAATTCCTAAATTTCCCCAGTTATTTCCCCCAATTTATTTGCCTTTTTTTCTCCCCTAAACTAATATTCAGACTTCCACACTGCATTGGGCTGTCTTGTCCCTTACTCTGGAAGAGGTACTCTGGGGAAAGGAGCACTCCCGCCGAGGGGAGGTGGTGCACAAGGAGCCCCCCAGGCCCAGCCCCGGGTTGATGAGGAAGCAAGTCCGGAGAGGGAGGAGCCAAGTCTGGGAACTGGGAGGGGGTGCAGGGGGAGGGGCGTCCTTGCAGGTCCGGGGAGGTGCGCGGACGGAAGCCTGGTCCCGGCGTTACCGGATGGTCCCGCCCCTTAGCAACTGGCCTAGCGTCCCTTCCTAGAGACCAGTTGCCGGACCCCACACTGTCAGGTGGAACTGGTAGGTCCATGGGACCGAGGGAATGGTGGGCGAGCGAGGGAAGGGGAACCTTGGTAAGGCATGAGAGTGACTGGCCAGGAAAGAAGTTGCCTTTCTAGCCCACATCTCTGCCCAGGAGGAGTCTGGGTGCTCACCTGAACCCTGGTCAGTGGGAAAACAGTGCAGGACACTTTCAGATGGGTTGCAGATGGGTCCTGTGCTTACCAGGCTTTTTCTTGGGGTCCCACCTCCGAGCTGGAATGTGTCCCTTCTCCCTCCTGTGGAAGCCCATGCTGGGAAGGGGCCTAGGGTAGGCCCCCTCAGCCAGAGTCCTCAGTGCCTCCCTCTGTAAATTGGCAGAATACCACTACAGATGGGTCACAGTTACAGAGAGCGCTTCCTTCCTGCACTCACCCCAGCTGCTCATTCAACTACAGTCTTTCAAAAACACTTTCTAGTCACCTACCGTGTGCAGCATCTGGGGCCAGTCCCATGCTAGGTACTGATGTTCCAGAGTTCAGTGTTTCTAGAAATTCCCTGCATTTGCAGCCCTCATGCCCAGCTGACAGGGGAGACAGATGTGCATATATAATAGGGGTAGCTCTTTTCATGGGAGGGAGGAGCATCAGGCAGCCATGGGGACACAGAGGGGTCACATCAGGTGAGTGCGCAAAATAAGGTGGAGAGAACCCCTGCCTGTGCGAGCTATTACCGACAAGGACAGTGATTTCCAAATCTCTTAAGCCACAGGTCCATTTGCCAAATGAGACCTTGCACAGAGTCCTGTTAAATGAAATAGATAAAGATGCAATTTCCTTTCTGAATCAGCAGTGGGCGGCTTAGTAGCCCTCCTGTTCAAATCCCAACCCCCCAAGGCTCTTTGATACACAGTTTGTGAACCACTCTTATGGTGCTTGGGACATGGACCTTTGGGTCAACTAGAGGGAAAGACCTTCCATTTCTTTCTTTCGTTTTTTTTTTAAAGATTTATTTATTTATTCATACAGAACTGGGGTACAGGCCAGAGATGCGGAGGGTGAAAGGATTCACCAGAGACAGAGTAGGGAGCAGAATAGGCAGATCGACAAAGTACACTGTTGAGGGGAGCAGTGGGGTGGCCAGGAGAGGTCTGCTGTGCCATGTGGTCTCCTCCAGGGCAGGCAGGAATCAAACTCATGCAGAAGTGGCTTAAGCTTCTTAGTCAGTGCTTTAACCCGCTGCGCCACCAGGGAGGGCCCTCTTTCTTTCATTTTTAAAGATATATTTATTTATTCATACTGAACTGGGGTACAAGCCAGAGGTGTAGGGGCAGTGAGAGGCTTCACCAGAGACAGAGATAGGAGCAGAACAGGCAGATTGATGAAGTACATTGTTGAGGGGAGCAGTGGGCGGGTCAGGAGAGGTCTGCTGCGCCATGTGGTTACCTCCTGGGGCGGGGATCAAACTCAACTGAAGTGGCTGCGCTAGCTTGCAGTATTGTGTCCTAACCCGTTGTACTACCAGGGAGGGCCCAACCTTCAGTTTCTAATCTGGTTTTTCCAGTTCTTAACTTTGTCCCCTGTGCAAGTTTTTGACTTTCTACTTTTATTTTTTGTTGGCTGGTGGTGGTATCTGGTTTGAGGATCAGATACCCTTGTTCATCTCTGTCCATCCAGACCAGTGTCTGTGGAAGGTCACTTAACCTCTCTGAGCCTTATTTTCTCTGCCTTTGAGAAATGAGGATAGTCTCAGTTCTCACCTCAGAGTTTACATGACACATCCCCCATTCTTGACACAGTGCTTGCTGGGGCCACCTTTGCCATATCACAGAAATGAGTAGGAGTGCCCAAGTGACTGGCAGCGGCCTTGTGAGAATCATGTTCCCTCCCTCTTGTCAGCCACACTCGTGCTGTCTGCACCATGGGGCTGTAACAGGAGGCAGATGTGTCTTTGTCTCTGTGTCCTCTATGGGCCTGGTGCACCCCAGCGAAGTGCAGGCACAATGGACCTGCCATCAGTGCTCCTGAAGGGTTGAGGGGTGTGAAGGAACAGGATTAGGAGTTTATAGCTCATTCTCTCACTACTTGGGCTGGGCTGGGATGCATTTCCCCCCTGCCATCCATCCATACTCATGTGGAAACAACTCACAGGGGCAGCAAATCCACCCATCTCAGACTCCTTTTGCCCCCAGAAACCTAAACATTTCCACATATGTTGCTCCTGGCAAAGCAACCAAGCTTTTAGTTGGCAAAACCAGGGAATGGAGTGTTTCCTGGCCGATCTTGGTGTCTCCACAGCCTGCTCCTTCTGTTCAAAGGTGAGGCAGATATCTGGGGCTGAGCTTCAGTAGGTCCTTGGGCACTCTAGGCAGGGCTGGTAACTTCAGATGGGTGGGCAGAGAGTTTCCAGCATCTTCTCTGGGAGGGCACAAAGCAGCAGACACAGGAGGCAGAGTTCCAGTGGGACGTGTCTGGTGGAGCGGGAGTCGGTCAACCTTGGGCTGAGCGACAGCAGCGTCCTGCCACAGCCCCATCTGACCTTCACAGTCTTTCAAGTGGTCTTGCCAAGGCAGTAGCCCCTTGTTAGAAATGGGCAGGCTGCTTCAGCGCTGCTGGACAACTTTAGCACCCACCCCTCCCCTTAGGTCTGTCCAGACCAGCTTCCAACAAGAGACCTTCCCCAGCCAGAGACAGTGGACAATGGAGCACAAAACACCCAGCCACAAAAGTGACCTGGGCTGCAAGCTCCTGGCTGCTTTGATCAGTGTGTTGGGGGAAAAGAGGGTGGAGAAGTAGGGGATGGGGTGGAGAGAGGAAGGGGTGTTGCTTGGATCAGATCCTATTTTCTTTTCTTAATATACCCCTACCTTTGTAAATATAAAATTTTTTCATCTTAATTTTTTGAGCCAGTACTAAATGAAAACCTCCTCTGTCTCATCCCTTGTCCAATTAATGGCAATCCTCTGATAGGAATTTCCCTGTTGTTGCATTTTGAGGTAGCCAAAAGCAGCAGTGTCCTTGGGATGGTAGCTGTGCATGCAAACCAGGGGTGCATCTCTTGTTCCTTTGGGGGACAAGGGAGTGTATATTTTCTGAACTGGGCTGACAGCCAAGATGGGTGAATATAATCCTGTTGCTGTTAGTGGGATTTGTGGGCCAGTGGAGGGTTGAATCCTGGGGTATGATCTGGAACAGGCATGGTGGTGGTCAGGATCCAGCGCTCACAGGTGACAATAAGAGTTCATCCTCCGTAGTGGGAGAAGCAGCCAGTAGGCAGGATTGGGCTGGGGGCACTGGGGTTGTCTGTGGCCGAAAGTAATTTTTGTTAAAACCAAAGCAGGTCCTCCTTGTCTCCCCTGGTGAGATGCCAGACTTAGCTCTCAGTGGGGTGGGACTGGCGGGGAGGGAGGATGAGTCTAGAAACATGCACTGGGGAGGGAGGTTTGTAGAGTTTCCTAACTCCCTGCACTGAGTCCCTGACTCTGGGGCTCATTTTTTTATATGCAGCATCCAAGAAGGCCCTGCTTTCTCCTGATGGGGCCCTGAGGGGTCCAGATTAGGAGGAGACTCCTTCTTCTCTCCCTACTCCCTCTTCTGTTACTGAGGTTAGTTGTGGGGGGGCAGACTAGGCACCCCCGTATTGTGGTGCCCCTGAGGGCTGAACGGAGTCTGACAAGGGCACAGTGACATCGTTATTTTCTCCTAGGAGCTCTGACTAGGGCATCGCCGTGAGAACAACATGGAGCAGCCTGAGCAAGAAGGCCCAGGAAGGAACCCCCAAAACCCAGAGTGTAGCACTTCTCTTGCAGACCAAGCTTGCAGTCTGAGGACTTTTCAGACAAGTCAAGAGCATAACCCGAGGAACATTCTTCCAACAAATTTTGGGTCGGAGAAGCTTCTTCCAAGCCCTGGCCCCAGAACCCCACCTTTACCCGTCACCCCTGGCATACCCAGTCCCTCAGACTTGGGGCCACCCCGGAAGTTGCCCCTGACAGACGCTAATAAGAAGTATCCTCTGATGAAGCAGCGTGGGTTCTACTCAGACATCCTAAGCCCTGGATCTTTGAGTCAACTTGGGGTGAGTGTGGTGGCTGTCCCCTTACCAAGCCTGAGCCCCACCTTATGGGTTCCACTTGTCAGTCCTTCCATCTACCCATCCATCTCTCCATCAGACCAGTTGTTTATTTATCCATCCATCTGTCCATCTGCCCGCCTAGTAATTTGTCCATCCATCTATGCACCCACCTACCAATGTGCTCGTCTGTCTGTCATTGATTCCACACCTCTTTACTGAGCACCTGCTGGTGGCAAGCCTGGACTGAGCAACGAGACAGTGAGGACAGGATGTCTGTGTTCCTTCTGTGGGCAGTGGGGGAGTCCCTCTCCAAGCTCTGGTTGAGGAAGGGGTCTTTGGATGATGGCATGTTGTTAAGGTCTCAGATGAGGATGCATTTGCTAGGCAAGATAGGAGCTTGAAATAGGGTTATTCCAGGTAAGGGGGTGGGGGGAGGAGCAGAAGCAACAAAGGCTTGGGGTCCCTAACAGAGGGTAGAATATGAAGGAAGAGAGGGAGGCTTGGGGCAGGGCAAGTATGAAAAGAGGAGACAGGAGGACAGTTCCTAGAACCCCTTAATTCCAGAGCTGCCTAGGAGGGACTAAGAGATAGAGGATTGATACCACTACCCAGACTGGCCCTTGGGAGGGGAGGTGTGTATGGAGACACCTGTGGCCCTGTCAACACCTCTGTTTTGGGGCTCAGCCCCTGTACACACACCAGGAGTGTTCCCAAAGTGAGCAGAAAGTTGCATAGGGCCAGAGTGGGGCAGGTGTATCCCAGGTGGCTACCACTTTTGCCACTGTGGCCTCTACCCCACCGCTATGCCTTGGGTGCTTTCTGGTGGGCTTAGAGGAGACACTTGGCCTTGGGGTGCCCCAGATATTTTTAGTCTCTCTGGGTTTGATTTTAGGAAGTATGTCGTGGCCCCCTTGTGAACCAGGACCTCCTGCGGCAGGCCGATCTCAACAAGTTCACCCCAAAAGGTCAGTGCCATGAGGGTAGGGAGGCGGGTACATTTAAAGCAGGGCCTCTGACCTCAGGGAGAATGTCTCTTCCTGGCTGAAGGCTTCCCTGTGAATGGGGATAACAGAGATAAGACGCTTTGCATCTTATAAGGGTCCAACTCACGGGCTTGAAAGGCTGCCAGGGCTGTCACTGCTCTTTTGGCCCCTGAAGTGCAGGGCTGAGCCCTGGACTAGAGCTGGTATCATGGACCCACAACTCAAGAGCAGGTGATGAGGGATCTGAAAACTACCTTCTTGGCTGGGCCTTTTGTATTGTGGGCTCCCTTGAGCACCTTGCAGCTCTGGCGAGGCAAGTTGGTAGCCTCTCTGAGCCCTGGAGGGCCCCTCTTTGAGCTGTCCTAAGCCCACCAGGCCTCATCTCCTGGAGCATATTCCTGCACCCCTGTCCCTGTCTATATGCCCTCGGTGTGCCTGGAACCTTTCTTTCCACTTAACAGCCCTGGGAAACTCCTTGGTCTTGGGCAAACTGAAACTGTCACCCACTGGCGGATCTCTCCACCAGCTCCACCCTTGTGCCTAGCACTGGAATGGAGAGCGCTGTCTCTTCTGGTTGTCTAGGTAGGGGTGGACATTTTGTGACCTGAGAGTCCCACAGGGCCCAGGTGGTAATGACTACTGCCCCTAAGTATCCAAGAGGTTTTGGATTGCAGATGGTGCCGGGGGTAACCGGCATTCTGAACGATGCTTGCAGCAGGGGTGGGGTGCTGGGGTTGGGGTGGGAGGCAGCCATCTCATACGTGCAGGGAGTACCACTTCTCCTTCTGCCCAGTTGTGTCCTCTTGGGTAGTTTGACTCAGTACCTGCCTTGGGCACTGGCCGCTGGTGCTGGGTCATGGTGGTCTGGAGAGAAGTGGTTGAGTATGCTGACTGGGCAGGGAGAGCAGAGCCAAACAGACCTCTGGGCGCCCTTGCCTCGCCTTGCTCTCCCACCCCTGGCTTCCCCAGCCACCAGCAAGCTCCTGCCCCAGCATTCCAAAGCAGGGCGGGCGCATCGGAGTCCTGCCCCATGCTTTGTTGTGGGCCTTGAGGGCTTTGGCCAGAGCCCCTGAACCTCCTGCCTCTGCCCACAGTCAGAACCTTCGACATTCCCGAGGACTTTGAGGAGCTTCTGGAGCAGCAGCGCATTGGACCCACCACCCAGTTGCTCACCCAAACTGACTTCCCGGTGCAGGCCTACGAGCCCAAGGTGCAGGTGCCCTTCCTGGTGCTGCCAGGCCAGTGCCCCCGGAAGATTGAGATTGAGAGGTACGGACAAGTGGGCTGTGGGAGGACTTGTCTTCTGAGAGGCCGCGTGTGCCTCTCTTAGGTGAGGGGCAGTAGGTGGCTGGCACCATCCTCACAGCAGAGTACTGAAGTGGTCTGTGTGCAGTGACGCCAAATCTTCTAGCCACTTGGTACATTAATAGGAACAAATTGCTTTCCTTGCTGTGGAATCAGAGAGGGTGGCATTGACCAAACACCAGGCACGACAGTAGGAGAGTGGGGGCCCAGTCGGCCACCCCAGCCGCCAAATACTTCCTGATGTGTCCCAGAGGCCCAGAGAGCCCAGCGGGGAGACCCGGGCCATGTCCTACTCCTGAGACCTATGGGCCGGCTCAGACACCCTGGATCCACACACCAAGGCAGAGCTACGCTAATGGCTCCTCGCTCTCCTGCTAGGAGGAAGCGGCTGTATCTGAGCCTGGACATTGAGCAATTGCTAGCCAAAGAAGGCATCGACTCCAACAAGCTCATGCCCAGGCACCCAGACCTCCACCATCCCCAGACCATCGAGCAGGGCCTTGACCCTCTCTTCCCCATCTATCTTCCACTGAAGGTGAGCCCAGCTTGCACCAATGGCTGATGGTCGGGGGGGGTAGGGGTGCAGGAATGTGGTGGAGGAGTCAGACCCAAAAAGGTTCCCCGTGGCAATCACAAGTGCTCGACCACTGCATAATCAAAGCCCACCTCAGAGGTCTCTCACATCCTGGGCTGGGGCAAGAGGTGCCCCAGAACTCCTGGGGTACTGAATTTTGCTTCTTGCCTGGGAGCCTGGGCAGTCCATGTACCTGATCTCTGACTCTGCCCTACCCTACCGAGAAGCAACCTAGTGGGACTGTGGTGTATGCGCCGGTCTCCTGGACCACTGCTTCTGGGCTCACTGATGAAAGTGGGCATCATTGTAGCCCCTTTGGGGTACTTATGGGGAAACTGAGTCCAGGGAGGAGACAGAGGAAGCAAAGGTGGGGTCTTTCACCCACCTCCTGGCCCTTCTTGTCCACGTCCCTGCGTATCTCTTACCTGGCAGTCCCTGAGAAGCAGACCCCAACTGTATATCACCCCACTACATGTGGGCTCCTGACAACTCTGAGACCCCAGTTCCAAGAGGGGCAGGGTATTTGGGGATATGCAAAGGCTACCCGTCCCTTGGGCCTGAACCTGATGGTCCTGGGCAGTGGGAGGGAGAGCCTGTGTCCTGCTCTGAGCTCTGAGTCCCCAGATACCGCTCTGTTCAGCCCTTGAGGTGGCTTGCCTGGAAAGAGATCCAGGGGTGACAGATCCATGAGCACCAGAGTTGGAGCGCAGTCACCTAAGGTGGTTCCTAACCCGCAGCTCTTGCACCTGGGGTGGGGCCCGCTTAGGCTCCCCCATCTTCTGACATGTCCAGACCATTCCTAGCCCTAAGGGCCGGTCAGCTCCTTGACATCTGCTGCTTTCTTCCAGGTGTTCGACAATGAGGAGTTTGACTGCCGGACCCCCAGTGAGTGGATCAACATGGGCTTAGAGCCAGGGTCTCAGGATAGAAAGCCTGTTCCTGGAAAAGCCCTCCTGCCCACTGAAGACTTTCTAGGGCATGGTGAGCAGGGCCAGCCCGGGTAAAGGACAAGATCCTGGTCTGCACACTCCTGTCCTGGTGGCAGCTCTGCCATGGACTCCTGGGCTGCCCTGGGCCTGGCAGCCCTGCGAGATGCCCCCCACCATTTGAAGCCTCCCAACGGGATCCAGGCCAAGGGGCTGCCACACAGCGGCAGGAAAGGCAGGGAGCAGGGGGGGACACTGGTAGGAGGACTGGGAAAGGAGTAGCTGGGTGGCATCTAGTCTTAAAGAGATCTTTTGACAGATTCGTAATGAAAGATAGGCATGTTTATTGGAGAGGTTCTGATCTAAGGGGGCACGATTCAAGCCCTCCCATCCCCACTCCCATAAATCATCACGTCCCAGCTATGACAGTGGTTTCTCACCTCTCACCTCTGCAGGACAACACACCCACACACACTTGCTCTCATCGGCATTCACAAACACGCTCACACGTGCGTGTTGCTCTCACGCACTCCATGCACCAACACACGAATACACTATCATAGCCGCCATCAGACCCACACACAGACCTGTGTTGATGCTGCACATGTTTGCCACTTCTTGGTCTTGTTTGTGTCTGCACAGAGTCCCTTTACTCCTGTAGCCCCAGGTCTGCTCTGGGGGACATGAGGCTCTCTCTGGTTTGCTGCTGTCATCAACAAGGCTGGGCTGAACTTCCACACCCTGGCCTGCATGCTGGTCTCTGCAGGCATCCTAGGGTGGCCTGGGTCAGCACATTGGAGGTTGGAGGTGACTGGCTATTCCCCTGTATGGGGCTGAGGGTCCCTGTGCTCCCTGACCCATGGTGGACAGGCCCCTTCCCCCGGAGGGAGTGGGGCTGCTGGGCCAGCACCCAGACAGAGGTAGGATGATGGCTGCCGTGCTGGCTGTGAGACTGCTCAGCTGCCAGGGGGCCCGCACTGAATCCATCAAGCAGGTTGTACGTTTATGTTTCAATTTAAAAACCTGTTAATGTGGGAATTAATTTCTCCAAACGAGACAAGAAGCCTTGAATGTTCCCTTTACTTTGGACTTAATTACAAAAATAATTTAATTCAATTGCTCCCAGATCTCCAATTCCTGGTGCTAAAACCCAAAGGTTTGGGGCTGTGTTATCTTTAAATGCACCAAACACCAGCCTCTCCAAAGCCTGCTCCTTTCACTGTTCCAGGCCTGGCCTTGGGCTGGCACTCAAGGAAGGGCTGGCAGGGAGCATTATGCCAGAGAGCTCTGGTTTTTTGCTGGGGGCTTCTTGTGAAATCTTTTCCTCTAACAAGACAAAGTCAATATTTTAAAAAAGGAAACTGGATAGGGGAGGGGAAAGCAAAACTGAAAACCAGAGCTGGAGAGGTGTGTCACAGTCCGCTCATCTCTTCACTCATCCCAGGTGTTTCTTCAGGATTTTTTTCCTTCCTCAGCCCAGTCTCTAGAACCCACTGTCTTTCTTCTGTAAAAGTTTATTGAGCATCTCTATGTCCAGTTTCTTTTTCAGGTACAGGGACATGGCTGTGGCTGAAACAGGACAAACCCACCTGCTCCTTGGGGAGCTGATGCTAGTGTGAAGGAACAGAGAGGATGTGTGCACAGCACGATGTTAGGCTCTGAGGTGACAGGGTGACAGGGTTTCAGGCCAGAGAGTGCCAAGGCAGAGGCGTTCTTTCAGGCAGACGTTTCTCCAAGGAGAAGCTGCTTGAGCAGGGAACAACTCAGCAATGGGGAGACCCTTGTGAAGACAGTTCTGGGCAGAGGGCCTGACCAATGTAAGGACCCTGAGGCTCGAAAGCTCCCGGAATAGCTAGACATCAGTGTGGCTGGAAAGAAACGAGGAGGTTAGCTGGAGAAGCAGGTACACGCCTTCAGTCTAGCGAGTAGGTAGCCGGCCCTTCCTTACCCAGCGTGCCCAGAAGCCCATGGCAGGGTCTCGGCAGGGCGACAGTCTCCTATCCAGTCCTGACCCATCCTGATGTGGGGGCCTGCCCTAAGCAGCCTAAGTGGAGGGCTGTACTCTTGGAGAGGTCCAGCTCAGCCACAGTGAACTTCACGACAGGATCCTCGACAGGTCTGTCTGGAGTTTTCCCATGTCCTGCTGGGCTGTGTCTCTCTGTCTCAGTTGGATCATCAGAGCACAGAGGCTTGGTCCTTCCAGCTTCTCCTGTTGCTAGGGTTGCGTAGAGGCCAACTCGGCAGGGACACGGAGGTCCCACACAGTGCTAGACCAGAGGAAGTCATCCTGGTGGGAATGAGGTCACATTAGTGACGTCTGAGAACCAGCCAGCACCTGCTACCTACACCCTGAAGCCCTGTGCAGGGAGCACTGGTGCATTCTCCTCCTGTTTCAGAGGACCCCAAGAGTCAGAAGCTGAATTATGCATGGTGTAATGTTGGTGTCCTGGACTATGATAAAGAGAAGAAGCTTTACCTGGTGCACAAGACAGATGAGAATGGCTTGGTGCGAGATGAGATGGGGATGCCCATCCTGAATGGAGGGGTCACTGCTGAAGGTACAAGCTCTCTGCTCCCCCAGCCCTCCCAGGCAGACTCCCAGCTCAGGCTAGGCCTGATGGAGGCCATTACTCAGCCTGAGTGCAGTGGACTCTGGTCTGAAATTGCCCTTGTTCAGTGGTCCTGTAGCTGTATAGCCTCTGGCCAGAGAGAACTGAAAGATGCATCATTCAGAGCTCCCAGGAAGGGCAAATGCTGGTCAGTCGATACACCAACTCTGAGCAGCTGTGCGCCTTTCAGGATGATGCTGAGGAACCCGAGGCCTATGGATTAATGGTTTCTGCTCTGGGTGTGGCCTTGAGGATTGGGTGTGCACAGCTCTTCAGAGTTTATAAAGCACTGTCACATCAAACTGTGACAACTGTGAGGTGGACAGGCTTTACAGTTGTGACAGTGGGGCAGGGAAGGGAAACCAGATGCTCAGGGCCACTGTGCCTTGGGCAAAGCCAGACTGGAACTCGGTGCTCCTGCCCAGAGCCCCCAGCTCCTGTTCCCTTCTCCCTCCCACCCCAGGCAGGCCACCCCTCCTGCTCTGCCAGTATTGGGTGCCACGGATCCAGCTTCTATTCTGTGCCGAGGACCCACGCGTATTCACGCAGCGTGTGGTCCAGGCTCATGCCTTGCGCAAGAACACGGAAGCCCTGCTGCTGTACAACCTGTATGTGGACTGCATGCCCTCCGAGGGCCAGCGTGTCATCGACGAGCAGAGCCTGAGCAGAATCAGGCAATGGGCCATGAGCACGCCTAGGATGCGGAAAGGCCCCTCGTGAGTCCCTTCCAGACCCTTCTCCATGCCTGCATATTGCTTCCTCTGAGCCACCTGTGGGAGATTAATGCTGGCAAAGTGGTGCTCTCGCTGTACCCATCTGCTGGGGGCTGTCTTGCCCACTGCAGCCAGATCTCTCATCAGTTTAAAGTCTTGGAATCTTGTTTGATTTCAAGGGCTAAAATTTGTAACTAACATCTATTTTGGTGTTCAAATTGTCCCAAATTTGGCCAGAGGGAGCCTCTTCATGCTGATTCTTGGGTCTCTGTAGTACTTTCTAGCAAAGCAAGAAGTTTCAGACTGTCTCGTATTTTCCCAGACCCAGCCCTAAAATCAGCCATTTCTCCAAAGAGTCTCCGGTCCTTTACGTGGAGAGTGGTATTTAGAAGCCATGAGCTGGGCACTGCCAAATCCAGTGTCATGTAGCTTACCCCCATTTGTTCTCCTAAGAGTTTTATAGTTTTAGTTCTTACATTTAGATCTTTGATGGATTCTAAATTTTGTATATAGTGATAGTAAGGTCCAACTTCATTTTTTTACATGCGAATGCCCAGTTTTCCTAGCAGTGACTGCCTTCTCCCCATTGAATGGTCTTGGAAACCTTATTGAAAATTTTTTTAGCCATGTATGTGAGAGTTTATTTCTGGGCTTTTTATTTTAGTGCTTTGGTCTCTCTCTCTATATGTCTTTATGCCAATATACACTGTTTTGCTTATTGTAGCTTTTTTTGTTAATACATGGGTGATTTGGTGATGGGAAACCCTCGGGGATTACAACTGAGATGGAAAAAAGTACAAAATGATGTAAAAATAAACTATTATATTATTAAAAATTTTTTTGTTAATAATTTCTAGTTCTAACTGCATTGTGGGTTAAATTAAAAATGTATTTCTTGTAATAAGTGAATAAGGCCCAGTCACATTTATTGGTATGGCTGACTATTTGACCTCAATTCTGTCCTTATTTCATGTTATAATTATTTTGAGTATTATTATACAGTAATAATCGTGCTTTGCTATCGGATATATTTTCTTTCTTTTTTTTACTTCTTTTGTAATATAGAGATATTTGTAATATTTGTATATAGAGAGACCAAAGCACTAAAATAAAAAGTCCAGAAATAAACTCTCACATACATGGCTAAAAAGATTTAGGAAGGTTTGTAACTTTATTTAATTTTTTAAAATTTAGGCCTTTTATAAAAGTGCCCTTTTGTAATTTCTTGCTTTCCTGTTTGACCTTTTAATATATGCTTTGTCAGTTTTAAATGGTATCTTTTAGCTTCTTTCTATTTCCTTTGCAACAATCCTTTATCTTATTCTACTTTCTTTATCCAATTTTCTTCCTGTTTTTCATTGCTTTTTTTTCTAGTTAATATTTTAACATGATGGTTTTTTGCTATCTCAAATCTGCAAGTAAATATATACCCCACTTTTTGAAAGTTCATCAGTCAAGGTGTTCTCTTTCTCATAATAGCTTTTATATAAATGAATGTTGTTTCCTTTTCCCGGTTCATCTCTTGGATTTGGGATGCCTGAGATTCCTGATTCAAGGGCGACCTCTTCTGTTAGTTGAGGGCTTTGTGTTTTTTTTTTTTTTCTTTTCTCTCTCTGTTGAGTGTCCTCCACGTTTGTGCTCTCTCTTACCTTGCAGGCCCCTAATGTTTGCATTTGCTTCTTTTCCTCCCACCCTCCAGTCTCTAAGGGATGCCTTTCCTTACGCCTTCCTCCCTCATTCATCATGCTTTTCAAAGATAGCTACCTTGAGTGCACGAGCGCAAATCTGTTCAGTGTTTTTGCAGTTGAGGTGGGTTTTCTCTTTGTGGCAGGACTTTGTATTAATCCTAGGGCTACCTCTACTCCCTCCCTGCAGTTTTCTCTCAGACTGCCCTGTTCTCCCTGAAGGCTTAAGCAGGAGTATGAGTGACAGCTCACTGAATTGGTGTTTATTTTCTACTTAAGGATAACGGGAGATTTGGCATTCTCTTTACTCCAGTTACGCTGAAGGTGTGGGGTTTGGTAGTATTATTTGTAGTTCTTGCTTTTCTTAGTTTTGTTGTGGTTTACTTTTTGAGAGTGGCTTGGGATAGTCAAACTGATGTCATTACTTTGCTTGAATGAACAAAACGCCGTTGGAGCCTGCATCTGTGAGGAGGATGGAGATGGTGTGCAAGCTCCCCGCAGGCCCAGTGATTCTGTTTGTCAGAGCCCAGTTTAGGAGTGAGGAAACCGCTGATGACGCTGAGAAGTAGGAAGCAAAACGGGCAGACTCAGGGGCTGATACAGTGGTGGAGGGCGGCCGAGAGGTGCGTGGTAGAGGTTAGTGCATGGATGCTTGTGGGAAGTGTGCCTAGGAATTCAGATGATTTCCCCAGGCTCATGCCCCCAGGTCCATGTGACAGCAGAGCCTGGGCTCCAGCTGGCACACAGTTTGGGGATGGCAAGGACTGTGGAGCCCCCTGACTCCCCATTTTCCTTTCCATGGGCAGAGTTGTGGAGCACCTCAGCAGTCTCTCCAAAGAAGTGAACCTGGATTACGAGCGCAGCATGAACAAGATCAACTTTGACCAAATTGTCTCCTCCAAGCCTGACACCTTCTTCTATGTGACCCTGCCTAAGAAGGAGGAAGAGAAGGTGCCCAAACAGGGTGAGGAGGCTGGACAAAGAGGCCTGTACTGCTGACCTGGTCAGAGCCCCACTCACCCCCTCCCTCGAAAGGTCTCTGCCACTGTAGGTGTCTACCCTCCCACACTTACCTACACCTGTCCTGTCCCCAGCTTTCACCCCCTTCCTCCTAACTGCTGAAGAGCTGGGGTGTGGGTGGGAGGGTAGAACAGAGCTCTTTAGAAATAGAAATATAAATCTGAGTAGCAGAGGAAGTATGTTCTAGGAGAAGTGTTCAACAGCGGGTGAAAAGGCCTCTGATTATCTGGCCCAGGGAGAGACAGCTCTTTCTTCTTTCAGTAGCAAGGAGAGGCTGCTCCTCTCGCTGTTTGACATTTGGCAGACATGTCAGTTTGGGACACTGGGTCCCCGAGCCTCCCTGTTTGAGCATCTTGCCCCACCAGTATTGGTTCCTGGACCCAACTTCCCTTGTATCATGTTCCCAGGAAATCAGGGTGTGGAGTGGATGTTGGGTATCTTAAGGGCCCTGGGCCTTCATCGTCGTCTTTTTTTTTAAGATTTATTTATTTTTGCATACAGAACTGGGGTACAGGCCAGAGGTGCAGGGGTGGTGAGAAGATTCACTTGAGACAGAGTGGGGAGCAGAACAGGCAGATTGATGAAGTGCTCTGCTGAGAGGGCGGGTCAGGAGAGATCTGCTGCGCTATGTGGGTCACCTCCGGGGCTGGGGATCAAACTTGAACTGAAGCGGCTGGGGCCAGCTTGCAGTGCTGTGCCCAACCCATTGCACCATCAGGGGAGGCCCCGTCTTCTTTTCTTAATGCTTCAGGACAGGCCCCACATGTGTGCAGAGTGGGTGGGGGTGAGTGAGGAGAGGCTCTGAGGTCCTCACCTTCTCAAAGGGGTCTGTGGCGAGGGGACCTGGAGGGACTTGTTTACCCAGAGATGGCACCTCACTGTGGGGCTTTAGGGCCACTCAGGCAGCCCATGGGAAAGGAAAGTTCTAGGGATATGGGTGTCTTTTGTCAGGCACAGTGGAGGAAGGAGATTTGCCCTCTCTGCAACACCATTCTGGATTAGTCCTGACCCATAGAGTGTCCCTGACCTGGCTTTTGGCCCCCATCCCCTCAGGACTGGTGGAGGTCCCCAAGTACCCCTTCCTGGAGCAGAAGGAGGACTTCACCTTTGTGTCCCTGCTCACACGACCAGAGGTCATCACAGCCCTCAGCAAGGTGCGGGCCGAGTGCAACAAGGTGACCTCCATGTCGCTGTTCCACTCAAGCCTGTCCAAGTACAGCCGCCTGGAAGAGTTTGAGCAGATCCAGTCACAAACCTTCTCCCAGGTACGTGGGCCTCCAACACACAGAGGCCCCTCTGGGCACATAGGCCAGGGAGCCACCACCCTTGACCCAGACCAGGAGTCTCTGGGGAAGGGGTGGGCTTGCTTGGCCAGTGACGGTGCAGCCCAGCCTTCCAAGCCAGCCTTGCCTCTTTCTAGACCCTTAGGAGCTGGGGTGGGTGCCAACGTGAAGGCTCAGCTTGGAGACAAAAGGAGAACCAGGCTGAGCCCCCTTCCCAGTTATTAGTCAGCTCAACCTGGGATGTAGGCTACCTGTCTAAGGGGCGGGAGTCCCATGAACCCTCATATCTACCTGAAGGTTAAGGTGTGAGAGTGGAGAGGGGCAGCCTCATGGGAGAGCTACCAGTGGGTATGAGAGAAAGCACCCTCTTACCTCCCACCTCTCCTCTCAGTCCATTCTGGGTCTCTGTCTCTCACTCTGTCTATTCTCTTTGTCTCTCCCTTAGCTGAAGGGAAAGGCCTGTTTCTGTTGCCCACGCCCTACCCCCTTCCCCCTCGCAGCCTGATGCCCTGGCCTCATGGAGGTATTGGTTGGCAGGGCTTGGCACTATTTTGGGGTCAGGGAGGATCCTTCTGTGGCCCTTTCAGCCCCGAGGCTGCCCTAGCACCCTGGTGCCCCGAGTGAAGTGGCTGCAGGTGGCAGGCCTCCTGTGATGCCACCTGTGGCCACCTTAGGTGCAGTTGTTCCTCAAAGACACCTGGATCAGCACGCTCAAGGTGGCCGTGCGCAGCAGCCTGCGCGACATGAGCAAGGGCTGGTACAACCTCTATGAGACCAACTGGGAGGTGTACCTCATGTCGAAACTGCGCAAGTTGATGGAGCTGATCAAGTACATGCTGCAGGACACGCTGCGCTTCCTGGTGCAGGACTCGCTCACCAGCTTCTCACACTTCATCAACGACGCCTGTTACAGTGTGCTCGGCTGCCCAGATGACATGGTCTGGGGCGAAGACTTCATCAACAGCCCCTACAGGTGGGGCAGCTGGGGGGCTTGCAGACAGCAGGACTATTCCTTTGCAGGCCTTGGTGACCAGAGTGGTCAGGAGTGGGAAAACCGGGAGGCCAGGGTTGGGGTGCTCGGCACTGCCAGGCCCTGGAGAATGCAGAGATCCAAGCTTCCTCACCCTGGTGGGGGAGATGTCCTACCACCTCAGGCTTGCATTTCCTTTGGCTGCCTTTATTCTCTGTCAGTGAGTATTCTCAGCAGAGAGTAGGGTCTCTGGGCAGAGTCTGGAGGAACAAGAGGCACCATCCCTCTCTCACAGAGGACTGCTAGTGACTGAGGGAATAAATAGAAAAGCATTGTCCATCCCATGGAGATCCTCCCTCTTACTGGGGCCAGAGGGTTGTGCTTGCTATGCATAGATCTCCTCAGGTCTCTGCCCATGATCAGCCTGGCCATTGTCCCCACAGGCCCCGGAAGAATCCCCTCTTCATTGTGGACTTGGTGCTGGACAGCTCAGGGGTGCACTATAGCACCCTGCCAGAGCATTTTGAGACGTCATTGCTCAACCTCTTTGACAAGGGCATCCTGGCCACTCATGCAGTGCCGCAGCTGGAGAAGGTACGACGCTACTGCAGCTATTGGCTGCTCTGGCTGCTGCAACCTCAGGGTGCTGCCTGGAGTTCTGGGGCAGTTCAAGTCTATCCCAGGCCTCCCACCTGGCTGGCTGTGTGCTTAGCCCTTTGATCCTCTCTATAGGCTCACCTGGGAACACAAAGAGCCCCACTTGTAGACTTAGGCTTAGCATCGCCACTAGCGGCGGGCCTGTGATTAGAAAGGCCACTCACCTACTGCTGCCGCAGCTGTGACTGACCCACATCCACCCTTGGCCCACCTAACTCCTGACCTCCCTTCATCTCAAGATGTGACATGCTGACCCCCGTAGACAGCCCCACACACTGTCCTGGGCCTTTGAACCTACCCCAAGCTCCTCTTGTCTCCCTCAGGGTCAGTCAGTACGCATCTTTCCTTGGCTTTGTGTTGGGCTGGGCAAGGCAGTTGGAAGACCCTGCCCCTCATCGAGCCTGCCTCAGTCCACAGTGCCCTCTGAGAGACCACAGCAGACCTCTCCCCCACCCCACCCTGCTAAGTGCTTAGCCTCACTGCCACCCCTCAGTCATTGGATCACACCGCAACCCTCTTACCCCTTCCCTTCCTTTGGCTCCACAGCTGGTGATGGAGGACATCTTCATCAGCGGCAACCCCCTGCTGGAGTCCGTGGGGCTCCACGAACCACTTGTGGAGGAGCTGCGGGCAGTCATTGCTAACGCTGTGCACAAGGCCATGATCCCCCTGCAGGCCTACGCCAAGAAGTACAGAAAGTACCTGGAGCTGAACAACAACGACATTGCCACTTACCTCAAGTGCGTGCATGCACACCTAATTGTGTTTGTGTGTCTGGGAGACCCCTGCACCCTCATTACTCTCTGCCTGCCATCTCAGGGACTACCAGACACAATGCCCATCGGCTGAGGTGGTGCGAGAGGTGGTGCTTACCCACCTACAGGAGAAGGAGATTCTGGACAGCTCACTGCCTAGCAGCATTGTCATTGGGCCCTTCTACATCAACGTTGACAATGTCAAGCAGAGCCTGTCCAAGAAACGCAAGGCCCTGGCCACTTCCATGCTGGACATCCTGGCCAAAACCCTGCACCAGGAGGTGGACAATGTAAGTGTCAACCTGCCCCCACCGGGTCCCACTGGCCACAGCAATACACCATGGTGAACTCCCAAGAGCATGCTGTCCCCAGGTGACTGCAGACTCCCAGGCCAATGGAAGGAGCTGGAAGTCATCCTGTTTTGACCCTGCTTGTCTACAGCATATGGTCCCATAAAGGAAAGTCCCATAAAGGAAGGTCCCAGGAAGGAGGTCCTGCTGCCTCTTTCCCTGAACACTCTGGGAGCTCTCACAGAGGTCACCCTGAAAAGAGCCATTGAGAGCTGGGGCTGGGCAAGTGCAGGCTCAGGAGGCCTGTGTGTGTGAGCAGCGGCAGGAGGTAGAGTGAGCTGATGGTGCTCTCACCCTACCTCAAGCCTCAGGAGCTGGCTGCCCCCCTTTCCCGTACTGCAGGATGTGGTAGGCTGGGGCATTTACCTGTGGGGAACACTGGGGACCCAGAGGGAGAAGCAGGTCCTAGGGGAGACAGAGGAGAGGCACACTGCCTCCTCAGAGCCCTCTTCATAATGTCAGATCTGTGAGGAGTTCCGAAGCATCAGCCGCAAGGTCTACGAGAAGCCCAATAGCATTGAGGAGCTAGCTGAGCTTCGCGAGTGGATGAAGAGCATCCCCGAGAAACTAGAGGAGCTAGAGGTGAGCTGGGCACACGGGTCACTTTCCAGAAGCCTACTGAGGCTGAGGTCAGGTGGGCATACAGAGGAATGGGGGGCTTAGAGGCACAGGAGACCGGGGGCAGGGGACGGGCAGGGACTGGGACCCTGGTGATGAGGCAGATGCACAGAGGGCCCAGTGAGGGCCTTGCACTCCACCCCTCCTTCCCCATCCTGGGCCTCCTTCTCTGGAAGAGATCAGCCTCCCCTTAGACCCCAGCCACTTTGTAACCAGGCCCTGGTACATGTCCTCCTCCCTGCCCCACCACCAACAGCCCCCACTACACAGACAGTTCTCATCACCACCTGTCCTTACAGGAGCGAATTGTGAAGGTCATGGATGACTACCAGGTCATGGATGAGTTCCTTTACAACCTCAGTGTAGATGACTTCAACGACAAGTGAGTGGGAGCTTGTCTGCACACTAGGTAGATTTGGACAGGGGGAGGTAGGAGAGGGGTGAGTTGCTCGCTAATATACTGCTGCAGGCCACAGCAGCAATGCTCTCCAAGATGTCGGAGGCCATGGTTCTAGAGAGCTGTCACAGGGCCAGGAGGAAATCATTCGGAACACTCGGCCCAGGGATCCTGCAGTGCCCCAGCCCCATCTCCACCCTCTACCCCACCATCAACCTGACACACACATTCACTACAGTCCTAGGACCCCCTTGTTTGTGGTTGGGCCCTTTGGGGTCCTGGGGAATGCTAAAAGAAGGCAGAGCCCAGCCTGGTGGGCAGTCCTGGGACAGGAGGGCATTTGTTCTGACCCAACTCGAATCTTGTGATAAGTGGCTTCTGGTTGGGACTGGCTTACCAAGGACTCCTTGCCCATCCTGCCTCACAGACTGGAGGGGCCTTCAGGATGCAGGCCTAGGGGAGGTTGACACTTAGCCCCTGCCCAGCAGCCCCAAAGTACCGGTTTCACGTAGCCTTCTGGTGCTCAGGGTCTTGCCAGGGTCAGTGTCCCTAGGCCAGCTGTGGGCTGAGTCCCTGCGTCCCATAGAGCTACCTACTCCAGCCAAGCAAAGGGAGTTGGTCTGACAGGAAGGAAGCTGGCCTGTCGCCCTGGCTGGTCACCACGAGCATGCAGGTCAGATGCTGTTATTTTGCCTCAGGTGACAACCCTTTAGACTGTGGAATTTAAGAGGGAACTCAGTGTCACACTCTCATTTCAGACAACACTCCTTGCCTTACCCATCACTGCCCTGGGCCATTAGATCTGCGTCTCCTGAGTTGCTGACTACAGTTCCCCAACAATATCCCAGGGCAGGGACTACCCTCCCAGGCAGGCCCACACCCTGAAGGGGGCAATGGTATCTTCCAGCTCATTCCTGCTTTCCCATTGCCCAAGCCTGGATATACCAGCTGCGGTCTAAACTCTGCATTCTCCCCTTCGTCCTGGGTGCCTCTGCCTGGCCACCCCGTGATTTCAGCTGTGATGTTTTCCCTCATCTTTACCCCTGACCCTCCAGATGGGCTGCCAGCAACTGGCCTTCCAAGATCCTTGGGCAGCTAGAGATAGTTCAGCAGCAGCACATAGAAGATGAGGAGAAGTTCCGCAAAATCCAGCTCATGGATCAGAACAACTTCCAGGAGAAGCTGGAAGGACTGCAGGTGGGCTGGCCGGGCACTCTCTTAGCTTCCTGCCATGCTCACACGGCTCTCCAGGCCTGGTCTCACCTCAAGATCCAGAGAAGTTCAGAGTAGCAAAGAGCCCCAGTGGGCCATGGGCACAGGGTTCAGGGCACTGGGTCTCCCTCTCACCTTGCCATGTTATCATGGGTGTTATACCTGCCAGTGAGGGGCCAGGAACCTGCTCACTCCAGAACAAAGCCCCTCGGATGTGGAGAAGATACTCTCAGGACCTTGGGCTCCTGGGCGTGTAGGGAGGACACATGGGGCTAGGTGGGGCCACAGCCACCTCTCACCCTTGCTCCTTGGCCCACAGCTGGTGGTAGCTGGCTTTTCCACCCACGTGGAGATCGCAAGAGCACATGAGATCGCCAATGAGGTGCGAAGGGTCAAGAAGCAGCTGAAGGACTGCCAGCAGCTGGCCTTACTCTACAACAACCGCGAGCGCATCTTCGGCTTACCCATCACTAACGTAGGTTCCCATGGGGATGCTGTTCCCTTTGCTCCTGAGGTGTGAGGAGCAGCCTATGGTACTGGCAGCCATGTCAGAGCCCTGCTTCCAGGTGGCTTTCAGGGAGCAGAACTGAGCAGACTGCAGAGAGGAAATGACCTTCCCATGGGCTTCAAGGCAAGGAGCTAGTGGGCACCAGGCAGGAGGACTGAGGCAGCGCCGGACTTGCTCCGTCCGAGCCCAGACCTGTGAAGGGTAGGAAGAGAGGCCAGGTTCAGGTGCGTGGGGACAGGACCAGAGAGCAGCCAGGAGCAAGGAGGGGGTGAGAGCTTCCCAAGAAGGAGTGAGGTAGAGAGGCTGGGGAGCACCTCCTTCCTGCGGAGCACTGAGGCAGGCCTGACTTTTCTAACTGTACAGTATGACAAGCTTTCCAGGATGGTGAAGGATTTCCAGCCTTACCTGGACCTCTGGACCACAGCCTCTGACTGGCTGCGCTGGTCTGAGAGCTGGATGAATGACCCCCTGTCTGCCATTGATGCTGAACAGTTAGAGAAGAACGTCATCGAGTCCTTTAAGACCATGCACAAGTGCGTGAAGCAGTTCAGGGACATTCCAGGTGGGCCAGTCTCTCCCAACCCCGCCTTCTGGTCTTCCTGGCTGCCTCTCATACCTGCCTGCCCTGCCCAACAGCCTGCCAGGAAGTGGCCTTAGACATCCAGGCGCGCATCGAGGAGTTCAAGCCATATATCCCACTGATCCAGGGGCTGCGCAACCCTGGCATGCGGAACCGGCACTGGGAGCTACTGTCCAATGAGATCGACATAAATGTCAGGCCCAAGGCCAACCTGACTTTCTCCCGCTGTCTTGAGATGAACCTGCAGGATCATATTGAGAGCATCAGCAAGGTGGCAGAAGTGGCCAGCAAGGAGTACGCCATTGAGCAGGTGGGTGGCCATCTCCAGGCTCCCCTACCCTACCCCGGCCTGCCCGACAGCGTGGGCAGATGACGTAGTAGGCCCAATCCTGGGATCATTCCCCAGGCCCAAGGTAGAGGTGCATCCATTAAGTAAGTTCATAATGTAAACGAGTGCTTGACAAGTGTCTCTCACCCCCTTGATTGTTCAATTCCTCCTCTCCTAGGAACCATTACCCTCATTGAACAGATGAGTAAATTAAGCCTCAGAGCGGTCTTAACTCATAGCAAAGTCAGTAAGTCCTAGAAGTGGGACCAGAAATCTTTAACTGACGTGCGTACGTGCATGTTAAACGCATTCAGCACATGTGCGAGAACCAGCTGACCTTGAGTTTAGATACAAGCCTGCAGGCAATCTGTTGATCGACAGGTGGAGACCATTTGCCAGAGGAATCTGAGGTCATGGCTGTGCAGAGCCTATTCTTCCCTGCTCAGTGATGCTAGCCAGCTCACCAGCCAGCCCACCCATCACCAGCCTTCACTCTCTCCCCACCCCAGGCACTAGACAAGATGGAGAAGGAGTGGTCCACCACGCTGTTCAATGTGCTGCCCTACAAGGAGACAGACACCTACATCCTCAAGAGCCCAGATGAGGCCTCACAGCTGTTGGATGACCACATCGTCATGACCCAGGGCATGTCCTTCTCACCCTACAAGAAGCCCTTCGAGCAACGCATCAATTCCTGGGAGAGCAAATTGAAGCTGACTCAGGTGGGCCCAGCTTGGCCTCCCTGACCCTTCCCACACCCTCATGGCACCCTGTCCCAGGGTGCCCAGGTCAGCATGGCTCTTAGCTCTCGGGCAGGTCCCTCTCATCCAGGAGAGGGGCATAGGAGCTGCTTGTAGATGATCAAAGGATTGTCTCTGCTTGGGACAACCAGGACCTCCAGTCTTGAACTTTCTGGACTGGACACCAAGGCCCTAAGGCTCCTCCATACCTTTTCCCATTCTTCTCCAAGTCTCCCATTCCCACACCACTGGAGCTAGTCTGGATGAAAGCTCCAGGGCCCTGGGGCTGCCCCTCCTGGGGATCTCAGGCCAAACACGGACTGTCGGCAGAGCCCTGGAGGACAGGGCTGGAGCCAGGCCTACTAGTGAGTCTGATAGCTCCTTCCCTGGGCCTTTCCTGGGAACTGTTCAAAACCTTCACTGAAGACCAGAAGCTGAGTAAGGACACAATCTGTACGTTCCTTGGATCACCCAGAGATGCCTGAACTGATCGACACTGACCCCAATTTTGCTCCTTTGCTCATGCTGTTTCCTCCTACTGAAGTTGCAATCACTTGGCATGAAGCAGCAGACACTGATTCCCCTTACGCACCTTCAAAGTTCCCATGGAGGCCCTTAGGTGGTGCCTCTTACAGAGTTCGTCATGCCCGCCGGGCCCTTGTCAGTTCAGAGGCAGAACTAGCTGTTCAGTAGGTGTAGTCCCTCAGCTCAGGGCAGGCACCTCATCCTGTCCCCCTCTATTTTTCCTGGTACCCATGTCGACCTGGCACAGGCCTGGCACAGAGCCATTCTCAGTATACATCTCATGAGGAAGAGAATGAGTGAATGTATATGTGAATGAATGAATGAATGAATGAGTTTTGTTGATAGGAAAAAAACAAGCTAAATCCTGAAAGGGAAATAGAGAGGTGGCAAGAAAGTGGCTTGTTCTGAAGATGCCTCATGCTTGGGCTAATGTCTCAGAGAGTAGGTTATGGGTTTTATGCCCTAGTCCCAGTAAACCTCAGAATCCTGGAGTGACAGATCCAAAAGTTGTCCTAGGAAAAGAGACTTAATTTGACCTTCCAAGGACTTTCTCCTGTGATTTTGGAGTTTGCAGGTTCGGGTGTGGTTTTTTTCTTACAGGGAGGAGTGGATTCCCAGGCTCTAATGAGGCTTGAGCATCCTGTGGGGAACTTGGGGGTTCTCTAGAAGCCAGTCACCATGTAGCCTCTTTGTTCCCTTGAGTACTGTGAGCTGACAGTACCATCTAGAAATTTCCCCATGACACTGACTGGTTCTCAGGACTCTTGCCCAGCACTCTGGCTGGAGTGAAATGCCTCAGTCGTGGGAGACAGAACTCAGCTTGAACCCCAGCCATGACAGTCCATTCCTTGACCAGGAAGTCCTGGAGGAGTGGCTGAATTGTCAGCGTTCCTGGCTCTACATGGAGCCCATCTTCAGCTCTGAGGACATCAATCGGCAGCTGCCCATGGAGAGCAAGCGCTACCAGACCATGGAGCGCATCTGGAGGAAGATCATGAAGAATGTCTATGACAACCGGGAGGCAAGCTCTCACCAGGCGGGCGGGGCAGCTGGGACCTCTGAGAGCCCTGATCACCTTGTCAGGAGCTCCTGGTCACTTTCTTCCCGAACAAGACCAGAATGGGGACAAGTCTTGACCTGTGGTCTTGGCTTGTGTCCTCCTGAATGGGCTCCCCAGCTTTGAGCCAAGTTTCTTAGAGGCTTAACAGCTGATGGTTTACCTCTTGGACATTTGCAGCCCTTTTAGAAGCCCTGATAAGGCCTGAAGCAAATAAAATTCCTGGGTTTTTCTTAACCCTAATTTATTTGATCAAAGACTTGTTTTCTGTGAAAGAACAGGGTAATAGATGCCACCTCTGGTTCAGGGTTATCTTCCTGCCCTTCTTCCATCCCAGACCCCACCAAGGGTCTCCGATTGGTGGGGGTGCTCTCAGCGTACCTTGTCACCTTACAGCTGGACCATGCTCACTTCCGATTTCTCTCTGGCTCGGGCCATGTAGGTGATCAATGTGTGCTCTGACCAGAGGCTGCTGGACAGCCTGCGGGACTGCAACAAGCTGTTGGACTTGGTGCAAAAGGGCCTCAGCGAGTACTTGGAGACCAAGCGGAGATCCTTCCCCAGGTGGGCACCACTGGCCCATGTCTGCTCTGTCACTGCCTGCCCATGAAGCTTGGGGTCCAGAGATGTCAGTGGTACTGGGGCAGTTGGCACCTGGGAACTACCTGATCTGTTCCCTCACCCCTGTTCCCTGACAGATTCTACTTCCTGTCTGATGATGAACTACTTGAGATCTTGTCCCAGACAAAAGACCCCACAGCTGTGCAACCCCACCTTCGCAAGTGCTTCGAGAACATCGCCCGGGTGAGTAACTGGACCTGGGGCTCAGGGTCAGGTGAACTGGGGCACCAAGGAGAGCAGGTCTCCAAGTCCTTCCAGCAGGAAATGAGGTGGCAAGTGGGATTCGTGGTCCTTGCAGACACACTTGGGGCCAACGGGAAGAATTGTAGAACCTCTCAACCGTTCTAGGGAATCCCTGTCCGCCTAATGTACTGGGTTGCTGGCTGGGTGGAGAAACCATGAACGGCTGGGTGGAGAAACCATGAACCCAGAGGCTCCTGCCTCTCCTCATTCTCGTCTCCAAGGGCAGCTACACAGGCCTGCAGGAGGGGAGATGCAGGGCCAGTGGGCTTCGTTGCCCTCTCCAAGTGGACTGAGCCATAGCGGGAGACATGGTAGACCCATCCTCCTGCCCTTATGTGGTCAGGGAAGGCCCAGCTAAGAAGATACTGGGTGTGAGAGCTCCCCACCCTCCACCCAGGCTAGCACTCCTCTAAAGTTGGAGGGCCCAGGTGGGGTTGGTCCAGGGTTACTAGTGCACAAGGCCTCTGGCAAACCTGGCATAACCTCACACTCTCACTCAACCCCTGCCCACAGCTGCTGTTCCAGGAGGACCTGGAGATCACACACATGTACTCAGCAGAGGGTGAGGAAGTGCAGCTGTCCTTCTCCATCTACCCGTCCAGCAGTGTCGAGGACTGGCTGCTGGAGGTGGAACACAGCATGAAGACCAGTGTGCGGGACATCATCGAGAAGGCCATCAAGGCCTACCCCACCGTGAGTTATCCCAGGATGGTCTCTGAGGCTGGCCGTGGCCTTCCTCAGTCAGTGCCTCTCCTCCACTACAGTAGCTGGGCCTTATCTTCAGGCTACAGCCTGGATTGCTGCTGTTCACAGTCAGCCAGGGGACCTTGGAGGTGGAGGTCCTTGAGGCCCACTTAGGGAAGAAAATTAAAACACTATCTGAAAAGAGAGATTTATTCCTAGTAATAATCAACTGCTGCTGTCAGTGTTCCAAGCATTCGCTGTGAGTGAGGTTCTGCCTGGGACTTCCACATCGCCTGTCTCAGCCCTATGATCGCACTGGCTTGGAATTAAACCACATCTTGCAATCAGCTCAGAAAGATTTTTTTTGACTAAAGGCATGTGATTCATAGGGGACAGAGTCAAGATTTGAACCCGGGACTGTCTGTCCCGAATTCTGGACTCTGCTTCAAGGTCTCCGCTGCTGAGGGGCGCGGCGACTCCAACTACCCCCAGAGACCCAGAGCTTAATGGCTTCTCTGATTTTTTGAGGGAGAATTAACCACTTGAACATAGAATTTGAAAGGTCAAAACATTTAAGGGAAAAAGAGGGTATAGACCTGGGCTGACAACTGCCTAGGTCAGCCCTGCTCATGTTATCTCCCCAGATGGCCAGGACCCAGTGGGTTCTCAGCTGGCCTGGCCAGGTGACCATCGCTGGGTGCCAGACCTACTGGACTATGGAGGTAGCAGAGGCCCTGGAGGCTGGCACCCTCAGTAACCAGTTGTTCCCCCAGCTTGGCCAGCAGGTAGGTGTCAAGGGATTACTCCTGCACACTCATCCTGCTCTGCAGGAGAAGCCCAGTTCTTTGGTGCTTTCCCCTCCTCTTGTTCATGCTGGAAGAAGCCTGGGGTTGGACCTAAAGAGCACAAGGCCAGACACCTCTAGAATGGTGTCTCATGACCAGTCACCAGTGGGACGGACCAAGGGTCCGAGGAGCACTCTGAGTGCAGGCAGGTGTCCCTCCTGGTGGTCAGCCAGGGAGCCCCCTCCCCAGGGCTCTACTGCACTGTCCCTCAGGCTGTTCTTGCTATTGCACTGGCTCAACGCGCTCCTGCTTAGAGCTCCTTGCTGAATCCACCACCGGCCCTTAAAGGGAGCCGGATGCTGCACATGTGCCTCCATTTTCACATAGTTCCCTGCCAGTCCTCCCCTGCTGGCCCTGTGCTCCTCCCATCCCAGCCATTGGAAGTCCCTAAGTAAAGGGATCTTCCTGGAAGAGCCTACCCTCCGTGCAAGGGTTTGACAGTGTCTCCAACTGCTGCAGCTCAATGACCTGGTGGCCCTGGTGCGCGGAAAGCTGTCCCACATGCAGCGGATGGTGCTATCAGCGCTGATCGTCATTGAGGTCCATGCCAAGGATGTGGTGAGCAAGCTGATTCAGGAGAATGTGGTCAGCGTGAACGATTTCGAATGGATCTCACAGTTGAGGTGAGCATAGGTGACCTTTAAGGGGAAAAGAGAATACAGGGTCGGCTTGGCTGCTGTTTGGATCAGTGCTGTGTTGTCTTCCCTGAAGACCAGGACCTGGTGCCAGACCTACTCATGGGTCTTCAGTTGGCCCTGCCACCTCCAGAGTCAGAGCAGCTGTGCAGGGGTCACAAAAAAGTGCAGTTAGTCACTAGTATGATGGTCCTGGCCCTTAAGGCCCTGGGACGAACTGGGCAGGGCTGCCTTGATAGCCTCATTCCCCCAAGGCCTGCCTCTCTGCAACCACATGCCTGCCGGTGGAGCGGTGTCCTCATGACATGGGGACCCATCTCCCCGCAATGACAGATACTACTGGACAAATGACAACCTTTACATCCGGGCTGTGAATGCTGAGTTCATCTATGGCTACGAGTACCTGGGCAACAGTGGGAGGCTGGTGATCACGCCCCTCACTGACAGGTGAGCTTCCCTCCCCACGAGCCCTCCCACTTGGGCCACCTTCCAACTCTGTCTGGCCTAGGGGACCTATGGCACAACCAGCCTGTGATGAGCCAGTTCATCACCTTAGTGCAGGCTTTGGAGTCAAACCCAACCCTGCCTGTCAAGGGCTGTTCGGGCCTCAGTTTCTTCAGCAGCCTCTTCAGGGTAATTGTGAGTTCATGAAATGATGCGTAAGGCTCCTAGCAGGTGGATGGCACTCAGTAGGCATCTAATTGGTGTGAGCTTTGTTATTTTAGCAATCAAATCCTCCTTTCTATGTGCAAGAGAAATAATGGGTGAGTCCCTTTACAATATGAATTTTTCTCTTGCTGCCTGTCTTTTAACAGCTGCTGGGGTTTTGAATTGAGTTTGAGTAAAGGAAATAAATTGTATCCACATGTTTTTCATCCTAACTGGTCTCTGAGTAAAGCTCTGGAGGGCCTCAGGTGGGGTGGGGGAAGCACCAGGCAGGTGACCAAAGGTTCCAGTTGTGAACCCAGCAACCAGGGCTGGGCACATCTGGGGCCCTGGGAAGAGGAAGGGCCAAGGGCTGACCATCCATTGAGTCCAGGCATGGGAGGGTCTCTCTACCTGTGTCCGTGGGAATCTGAGAAAGTTGTGTGGGCTGTGCCCATCTCCTCTCACTCTTACAGGTGCTACCTGACCCTGACTGGGGCCCTGCACCTCAAGTTTGGGGGTGCCCCAGCTGGCCCGGCTGGCACAGGAAAAACTGAGACCACTAAAGACTTGGGCAAAGCCTTGGCTATTCAGACTGTTGTGTTCAACTGTTCTGACCAGCTCGATTTTATGGCGATGGGCAAGTTCTTCAAGGGCCTGGCCAGGTGAGACTGGGCATGCGGATTGCACAGGGTAGGCAGGCTGAGCTCTCCTGAGGGCCCTTCCCAAGAGAAGCCTCACAGGATGGTGGAAGGGACAGAATGGAATAACAAAAGGCTGGTAGGTAGTGGGATTGTTGTAGCTAAATTGACAGAGATTTCCCCTCAGCAGACTCAGAGCCTCAGAGAGGGCCCTTGAGGTGCCAGGTGGGCTCTGAACTCATAACTACCATAATCTCTCCTCCCTTAGTGCCGGGGCCTGGGCCTGCTTTGACGAGTTCAATCGCATCGATATTGAGGTGCTGTCTGTGGTGGCACAGCAGATCACCACCATCCAGAAGGCTCAGCAACAACGGGTGAGCCTCTAGGGGTGTCACTCCCTCCAGACCCCTCCCATGTCACCAGCTCATCACTCCAGCTCTGCCCACCACACCCATGCCACCATGTGACTCTCATTTCCCTTCCACCCTTGCAGAATTGACCCTGGGGGGGGGGGCTCTTTTAGCCAGCAGGGAGTTCCAGATCCCTGCCCTGCTCTGTAGATAGCTCCAAGACTAAACTGAGATGGATTAAAGGACCCCTCACCCTTATGGAATGTCGCACACATTTGTACTTCCTTTCCCGGCAGACATTTGTTCATAGTGGCTGGAGATCTCCTGGGGACAAGAGCTGGGAAGCTGGCAGCTCCCACCCCATACAGTGTGGTCCTGAGTCCTAGTCAGAGCTGAACTTACCTAAGTGGAGGGAGAATCATTGTCAGTAATTGAATGCGGAAGGAATGGGAAGCAGGAGATGAGTAGAGAATTCAGGGAGCAAGCCTCTGAGACCAGAAGTCATAGGCCAGTTCCTGAGAGAGGGTCCAGCCTTGACTGAGCACATGTAGCCAGGACAGGCACATCAGCAGGGAGCAAGGGGGGACAGTAGGTAAGCTCCCTTCCCCGTAGGTGGAACGCTTCATGTTCGAGGGCGTGGAGATCCCCCTTGTGCCATCCTGTGCTGTGTTCATCACCATGAACCCGGGATATGCTGGCCGCACCGAGCTGCCTGACAACCTGAAGGTGAGTTCAAGCTCGGGAGGCTGCTCAGGGCACAAGGAGGCACTGGCACTCTGGCCTGGGCTCAAAGATGCAAAAAAACTGTGTATGGAAACATGGCTGCTAGATGGCAGGGCTGTGACTCCCCATGGCAGCCTCCTCCCAGGGGTCCCCAGGCCAGCCCCCACCGTAGAAAGGAGGCCCCAGACTTGGAGGACTTGGAGAAGTCGGACGCAGGTTTAGGTCAGCACAAAGGTCTGGTTCCTGATGGGTACAGTGGTCTATTCGTGAGCCACGTAGCTTCTTCGGCTATGGCACGCGGCGCAGAGGGGAATCCATCAGCAGTGGGGAGGGAGGGCAGTGAAGCTGCCTCCTGCGGCCGGGACAGTCTGAGACTGGGGCTCCGGGAGGGTGGAGTCTGCTCTCTGTCACACTGTACCATGTGCCCCCAGGCGCTCTTCAGGCCTGTGGCCATGATGGTTCCCGACTATGCCATGATCGCTGAGATCTCCCTCTACTCCTTTGGCTTCAATGATGCCAATATTCTGGCCAAGAAGATCACGACCACCTTCAAGCTGTCTTCTGAGCAGCTCAGCTCCCAGGTAAGGCCCTGTCTTGTGGAGGTCCAGGGGTTGAAAACCACCACCTATCCCCAGCCCCCAGAGCAGCTCCAGATTCCCCTTCTGTAGAGGGCCAGTCTCTGTGCTGTGTGTTTTATAGGCATTATCGTTTGACTCTTTGAACACTCCCGTGAAACAGAATCATGTCCCCGCTTCTCAGCTGAAGACACTGAGGTTCCAGGCAGCTAAGAGCCTGGCTAGATTCATGCAGTACACAGGGAGCTGGAGGGGAGCCACGAACAAGTACTCACCTGGCTAACTCAGGGCAAGGGACGGTGGCTCCTGAGGAGACCACAAAGCACACACCCATGGCTGGGGAGCAAGGGTGCCTGGGCCTTGTGGGACCAGGGCAGGACAGCCACCTCCCACCCCCCGTGGGCTTTCACTCAGCGTGCTGAGCCCAGGGCCACCATGACAGGGACAGAGGCAGCTGGGTCAGGCTTCAGCAGCGCTGCTCAGCTTCTCTGTCGGTTTCATCCCCGGGCAGGCTTCCCCTGTGGGGTGGTGGAGAACACCCCAGCTCTGTGCTTACATGCTACCAGCTGGCTTTCTCTTCCCTGATAGTTCCAGGTCTCTGGTATGACCTAATGGGTCCTATCTGAGTAACTTGCTTATGCATGAACACAAATTACCATGGCCGGGCGGAAACAGTTCTGCTTCTGGCTAGGTGGGATCTGCCAAACCCATGGCTAGAGGAGATGCCCTCTCTTACTGCGAAAAACAGCAGCTGATCATCAGTGTACCCTGAGTGCCAACACATGCACACCCTTCTTTCTAACCATCCACATTCAGACCCCTGCCCCCACACACGCATTGAAACAACTGTCCACGTGGTTCTAGAAATATGCTCGATCCTTTCTCAAGTGGCAGTGACCCAGAGTCTTCATCCAGATTGCTGGGAAACATGCTGGCCTGTGGTCAGGTCCAGGCGTAGTTCTCATAGTCAGCTCCAATATACCCGCTTGTGAAGGGAGAGAGATGGAAGCAGAGGCAATAGCAGGAAAAGCTGTGATGGGTCTGGAGGGGTGTTGGCATGTTTTGAACAAAACTCCAGTGGCTCCCGCTGATCTGTGGTGGCACTGCAGGGGCATAGCAGAGACTGAGGCAGAGTTTTTGTCCTCGGGCGAGAGTCAAGCAGGGGATGGGCAGAGTCACTGAGCCAGTCTGGGGAGATGGTGACGTAGAGGGTGCGAGGGGAGCCTAAAGGAAAGCCACGGTGCGGCTGGGGTGCAAACATGTGCAGGGAAAGTGACATTCCAGCTGCGAGCTGGGCATGAGTCACATCCAGTCCAGGTAGCAGCCAGAGTGTTCCCGGCAGAAGCCCACCCACCCCTCCTCCTCTCTGGGGGTGACAGGACCACTATGACTTCGGGATGAGGGCTGTGAAGACTGTGATCTCAGCAGCTGGGAACCTCAAGCGAGAAAACCCCATGATGAATGAGGTGAGTTCCAAGCAGACAGGTGATGGGAAATGGGGCTCTAGGAGCCTGGAGCCATCAGAGGGCATCTGGCGCGGATTACCTGCAGGCTCTGCTGGCCTCCAATGCAGGAGCTGATCTGCCTCCGGGCCATCCGCGACGTGAACGTGCCAAAGTTCCTGCAGGAAGACCTCAAGCTCTTCTCTGGGATTGTGACTGACCTGTTCCCTACCATCAGAGATGAGGACACTGACTACGGCATCCTGGACAAGGCCATTCGCATGGCCTGTGAGAAGAAGAACCTCAAGGATGTGGACGGTGAGCTGACCCCCCGCTACTACCAGTGGGTGTCCAAGATGGCGCTAGCACTGGCACCATGGGGTCCAGCCCAGGGGGAGGGAAACAGGACAGCCCGCCCCCAGGGTCCCTTACATCTGGCCAAGTGTGCTGTAGGTCCACTAGAACTCTTTAGGGTGTCTAGGAAAACTGTTTGTCTTACACCCACCCTCTAACACCACATGTGTGGGATTTTTCCTACACTGACTAATTTTCCAGTTCCAGCTGGGTGGACTGACACTAATTTGAGTTAGCGCAGACCTCATAGGATAAGGGGCTCAGCACCCCTCCCCCCCAGCCCCCGACAGTGCAGATGCTGTCCCCAAGTTACCCACAGCTTCTCTCTGACTTGGTTACCAATCAGAGGTCCCTGTGAGCCACCCTCAGGTATGATCAGTCACTACAACAGCTCTCGGAACTCCAGAACTCCAGGTGGGGGTCACTTACTTACCTATACTGGCTTGTTATATGATGAACAGCCAGAAGAAGGGATCCAGAGGGTGAAGGCTGTCCCTGTGGAGTTGGCTGTCCCCAGGTACATGGATGTGTTCACCTACCCAGATGCTCTCCAAACCCCGTACTATGGGGACCTTTATTGTGGCTGCATTGTAGGCATGACTGATGGCTAACTCCACTTCCAGCCCCCAATCTCGAGAATGGAGGATGGATCTGGAAATTTCTAACCTTGGTTTGGGCTTTCTGCTGACCAGCCCTCACCCAGGAACCCAACATCAGGAGATGTTGCCTCATTTTCACTCAGGGAATTACGAAGGCTTTAGGAGCTCTGTGTCAAGAACTAGGGTCAAAGACTGAATATAGAAAAGAAAATTCCCGAGCACCTTGTTGACAAGGGTTTGAGGAGTCCCATGACAGGAACTGAGGGCAGAGACCTACACGCATATTTCTTACTTCACAACGGGGAAGTGGCCTTGCCACTTGCCATTTAGCTCTGTCCTCTCGCTGAGCCACCCCTGCTGTGCGAGGAGCAGTCACAGCACTTGGGCTCTTCTTGGGCCTTGCTCCTCCCTGACAGGCTCTCTCTCCTCTGCCTGGTCCTCACTGGCTGAGGGCACAAGTGGAACTTGATGCCTTAGACCTCCCACCACACACACCCTCCTCCCCACTCACTCCCCATCTGGGCATCTGTCCCTTCACTCCTGACTGACTCTCAGATATTGTCCTGAGGTTCTACCCCATACTGACCAGCACTTACTTAGGATGGTGCTCCTAGCAGGCTGGGCAGAAGCTTTGGAGCTGAAGTTGCTTCTAGGGCCTGTGGTGCTGACAGTGAGTGGGCCCAAGCCTGCTGACCACTCATGGACGTTAGGAAGCAATAGTCATGGTAGAACAGTGGCTGGCCTTTAGCAGAGCTCCTGCTCCGTGCCAGGCTCTATACTTAGGACTTCACCTGTCTCCACCAATGAGGTGGGTACTGCTGCCATCTTCATTTTACAGATAAGGAAACCGAGACTCAGGGACTGAGGTGACTCACCTGAGCTCACACAGCAAGCTAATGGTGGGGCCAGGACCTAGGCCCATGGCTCTGAGCCCTGGACTTCCCTGAGTTGCCCTCCTCCCCTCCAGGCTTCCTGACCAAGTGCATCCAGCTCTATGAGACCACAGTGGTTCGGCACGGCCTCATGCTCGTCGGGCCTACAGGCTCTGGCAAGAGTAATGTAAGTGGAGCCCAGTGGGTAACCCAGCGGGCGCCAGGATGGTGCTGCCGTAGCAGGGGTCTTGGTCCTCCAGGGCTCTAGGATCTCCTCCTGTAGCCTGCAGCCCGCCCCAGTTTGGCTGCCGGCCAGCCGGGAGGCTCACGCTCAGGTGGCCTGTCTCCACAGTGTTACAGAGTCCTGGCAGCCGCGATGACATCGCTGAAAGGACAACCGTCCATTAGCGGTGGTGTGTATGAGGCCGTCAGCTACTATGTACTCAACCCCAAGTCCATCACGATGGGCCAGCTGTATGGAGAGTTTGACCTGCTCACCCATGAGTGGTGAGTGGCTTCTCCAGTCACCATGCCCAGACCCCTGGAGCCTGTGGGCGGTGGACCCCCTTCCCCCCAGCACAGCAGAAGGTCTGAGTTCAGGCTCTGGAGCCCAAATGCCTGGGATGCTCCCACCATTGCCCTTCCTTGCTGAATGACCGTCCTCACCCATCCACTGGGCCTTACCCTGCGTCTGCAGAGTGGGGACAGTAATGTACTATTAT